TGCATAGGAAATTAGACCATTTTCAATCTGAGAGATGATGGCTTCATCCGAATTGAGTCAATCTAAGGCATGTCAGGACAGTCTTAGGAAAATGAACTGAATTGAAATTATGGAGAGACGATGGCCGAGTCTCCCCAAATACTGTCAAATTACCACAGGAACGCTAAATAGGGGCCGATCTAAGAACTTATCAAGGAGGGGGGATTTGCAAAAAAGTCTAAAATTTTGTCGACTTTTTTCTTCAGTCGACCAGTGAGGATTTGAAGGGGGAGCGGACGCCCTCTCAGGGATTCCATGCCGTCACCATTCAAAGAGTTCTCCTTTGATATTATTTTTTAAAACCTATTGTAACCGACCAACCCTAAAAATTTTTCAACGTGCGCTGAAATCTTTCACCGCGCTATGTTTGGTCAAACCTTTCATTAGGTGCCAACACAGTCACTGTGGGTCTATATTATTTAAATATTCGCTTGTGATGCAGAAATTTTTGGCTCAGATTTTTTTAGGTTGATCAATTTGATTTTCCGAGCTCTTGATACAGACAAGCCAATTTTTAAAATAAAATTGACCAAAAAGACGTTTTTAGGGAACTTTTGAAAGGTTTTGGCCACCGCTACCAGCCCAACTCGCCCTAATTCCGCCCATGTTTGAAGTATCTCAGAAATTAAATTCTCCCGACCTAAAGCAAGGCAAGACTCGCGCCTGAGAATGTCCAAATTCATTTTCCGAGATGTTTGAAATCTCTACAAGAAACCTATAGTGCAAAATTTTCTGCGCTGCAGACACTTTGTTAAATAGACCAAAACTACCTTTTAGGGCAATTTTGGAAGGTTTTGACAAAAATGGATTCAGCCCCAGTATTTGGTGTGTGCAATTCAAAATCCTTATCATAAATTTGGAGGAGCTTTTGCACCTGCTCGGGAACATGCACTTTTGTAGAAGAGCCCGACTCAATCGGCACATATTGCTATGATTAAAATTACGCCTTGATAATGAAGCTGACTATTAGCCCGCTTGGATATTAACAAAGGTGGACGAAGCAAATTAATAATTAACTAATCAACCCCAGTTAGGATTAACAAGCGGGCCTAATATCATGTTCTTTGAAACGATCCTCAACTTATACTAGAAAAAGGATAGGCACCTACCCTTTCAAAGTTGTGCTTAAGCCCGGTAAGGATTCAACGGGAATCTGGATAGAATTACAATGATCCGTAAAGCTACTATAAATGTTTCACTCGAGGATTTCCTTGGGTGTATTTCGGAATCTTAGGGAAGAAAGATACCCGAGCTTGTTTTGGAATGGGAACAAATATGTTGTTTTAGCGAATCCCGGATTAAACTGTCTTAAAAGAAGTGAACATGATTTCATGTAACGAAATCAAATAGCTTTTTGGTGCCGCCCTCTTCCATTAGGTAAAATGATACAGTATGCACAGCCGCTTAATGACTTGGGAAACTTTCCGACAAGATTTTGGCTACCTGTTGATTTTTTCAGCAAAGTGAAAGTTTTTCTAAGAGTTTTGTACAGTTCGAGTTGTGACGGAAACGGTTTTTCTATAATTTGCCACTTAATTCCATGAATTTTTCCTGAGTATTTTGTTCTAGTCTAAAAAAAGACAGCAGAACCAAAAGTTAATCACTCAGATACGGAAATACGGTCACAACAAAGAGAAACCCTAACTAAAATGGTAACCGGATGGGCCATCGACGCTTGCTCAATCAGAAAGCTGATATTTATTTAACTCAAAAAAATTATCAGAAGCAGTGGCTTTGATTCAGAAAAACACATCTAAATTGTATTCCGTCAATTTGTTAACAAAACTGACAATCTTGTTTTTTTTTTTCAACTTCCCAATGAGCAAATGAAAAATTGTAAAAAGCTGTAATAACTTGCCAAAATATACAGTTACCTTTTTATGTATCCTTCACTCCGAACCCAGCAAAATAATTAAGACAAATTTTAAAGCAAAATTAATTTTTTTTTGTATTTTTCATAGAACAAATTTGCCGAAATAATTATAGCAGTGAGTAATGTGATAACATTTCTCGGTTTCATATGGATTGTTTACTGTTCCAAATATTTGAAAAATGCAAAAGAACTTTGTATTTGGGTGTGTTTTAGTTTTATCTTTTTTTTTCAAGCAAAAACAGTTACCACCAATCATCATCGGAATGGGTCGAAATGTATATCATATTGTAGCCCTTTCAATCGTGATTCAGTGTCGAGAAAAACTGGTTTAAAATTTTTTGATTTTTGTTCTAATTTTCAGCTAATGAGGTCAACTTGTGGGATTACAATAGCTTTATTAAGTTTAATTAAGGCCGTGAAAACTTAGTTAGTTTCGAAAATTCAAAAAAGTTTTGCAAAAAACTAACAATTGTGGGGTTATTTAAAAATTTTCAGGTTTTTTTCGATTTTTTTGCTTTACAAGAAGTGTTTTCTCTAATTTTTTGTTCAGATCTTTTTATTACACAACACTGACAAAACGACACTTAATTTAAAAAAAAACTTTTTGAGAGTTTGTTAAGATTATGCTTGGAATATTCTGTGCTATTTGCTCACATATAAACTTCTATCCTTATTTCTTTTTGAAATGTGCAGGAAAAAAAATCGCAAAGTTTTTCAACAATTATTTAAGCAAAGATGTTTTCACCACATTAAAAAAAACTACAAGAAAACGTTTTTTGCTCTTTTTTTTCGCATGAATGACAATTTTTGTGTGTGGAGTGATGATAGCACTAACCAAAAGTGTAGAGCAATAGTGAATTGAGCATAATTGACAACATTGGTTCACGAAAAAGGATCCAAATTTTACCTTTCTTGAAAAACTTTTTGATGGCAAGGAAAAGCTAATTGAATCTTCCCAATCTATTTGTCTTAGAGTAAACTGGTTTTCTCGACACAATGACATTTTGCAATAATTTTTTTATCACCTGAATCTCAACTGATGGGCCTTCAAAATGAAATGTTGCTCAACTTCATCTAAAGTTTCTTTGTGATACCTTAAATAGCGTTTTTTTCAATTTATGTTATTATTCATGTTTTGGAGTTTTGCAGGTTATTTGTGTTTTTTTTTGCGGGGTATCTTTGCCTAAATTTTGCAGCCAAAGAAGCGCTAATTGAAGTTTTCATAGTGTTTTCCTGAAATTGGTTTAGAGTCAAAATATTTGAGCTTAATTTTCTCTATTCTGTGCATCTTTTTGAAATTTCTTCAAATTTCGTTAGAGTCGCGGCTTGAAGGTTTTCGGTAAGAATAATAACTATTCAGATAATTTTTTTGGTATTTGATTTTGCGTGGAAAAAAGTAAAATAAAAACTGGAAGATGCGCTCCCCCCTTGCGCTAATCTAAACAACAACAATTTTTCTCTTCATTGATTAAGGCTTCGGGGTAGCTCCTGATATATATGCATCCAAAAATCTCCGAGAACTTTTTTTAAATACTACAAATTTTTGAAATACTGCAAATTTTTAAAATTCTACAAATTCAGTCATAGAAAATGATCATAAAATGCCGACATAGATACTATTTTTGAAAAATGCTGGCCGGAAAATTGTATGTCGCATCATCAGCACCAGGCTCTGCTCAGAATGGATATCGTTAAACAGTTTGAAAGAAGAGATTCTCTAGGTGATAGCCATATGCATTTTCGGCTAAAGAAGACCTTTCTGCTGAAAATCTATCGGTTTTTGTGCCACATTTGTAAGATGCAAACCTTATCATTTCTGTGAAATGACTGTTGCAGTCGGTCGGTCATTGTTCGGATAAGGTGGCGGTGATACCCCCCCCCTTCATCCACATGGGAATCTCAGCTGAGACCAACCCAACCTGAGAAAGAAGATCAGGTATCCCCTCCCCTCCTCCCCTCCCCTCTCCACTCCACTACTCGACCCGATTATCCCGCTAATAACCAACAACACCTTGACTTGTATTCTCAGGTGGTGCGACTAGCGAATATCCATTTGCACTCTCTTTGAGCGGATCCTTCTAATCAAGCATCAAACGAAATGACAAGTTTGTTGCGCAACTTTGCTGCGCCCAGGCGTGAACACTCACAAACAAGGGGGTCTTAGCCCACAGGTGAACACAAACAGAAGATAATTTGAGACTGGAAACAAAAACAGCCGCCCGAGGGTTTAAATCCACGTAAACCCATTAAGGGCATGTTTGGCAGCTGGAATTGCATTTCAAATTAAGATCCGATACAACTTGCTATAATAAGATAATTTTGATAGATTTGCACAAATGCCGTTTATGTGGGCGATAAAATGTAATCACAGGTAGAAATTAATCTGCCCGATTACTTTTATCATATTAGATTTGCCGCTTGTCTTTCGGTCGCCCCGGCCCCTTTTCTGGGAGCCCGCTTCCAGACTTCATTTCCCCGGCACATGGTACCGGTTTAAAGAGCTTCGGCGAATCTAGGAAAAAGCAACAAATTTGGGGATTTGAAATGAGGAATAAATAAATTTGCAAAGTTGATCACATTTTACTTATCCATTTGATGACATAAATGGGTTAAAGGTGACAAAAATATGACCAAAATGGGAGCCAGATTTGCGTCATAGTGAAAAATTTTGAATCCTGTGATCTTTTGACAAAATTTGATCTTAGCTTAAAAAAAGAATCGGGGTGTTTCTTCAAAAATGAGCTATAATGACTCATCAAAAAAAGATAAAAACACAGCTTCTGCTGATGATGTTGCTTCATATTTTTTTTCAAAATGTTCTGTGAACTTTTTGAGATATTGTGGACATGTATTCCGAATTATAAATTTCTTCCGTTAATCCGAATGATAATCCTTAACACTTGACTTTTTCGCAGTCGATACCGGAAAACGATTCACAAGTTTCCTCTTGTTTAGTTTATCCCGATATACAGATGGAGTTCAAGGCACAAGATTAGTCGTTTAACCTGAAACTAGTTTCAGACTTAAATACGGTATAAGTTATAAGTGAATTAACCAATCAGATTAGAAGTTAGTTTGGGAAATTTCATTCCCAGGATAGTATCGAGTGATAATCTTCTTTATTCCCCCTTGCCACCATTAGACCAAAAGATACCAAATCACAAATCTCTAAGTCTTGCTTCTCCCAAACCACTCAGAATTGTTTATCCTAAACTCCAATTCACAAATAGTCCAAGTTACAATTTAAAATAAATCAAACTCACCTAAAAACAATTCACTCAAGTCAAAATTGTCTGCAACAAAAACACACAGTGTTTATCTGGGTCATCTAATCTTGGACCTTAATTTCAAGAAAACTAAATCAACACGTTTTGAAAAAGAAAACAATAATCTTGGTTTTCGTTTATTTTATTAAATTTAAAGCAAAACTTGAATCGAACCTGCACATTCTGAAAGAATTTACATGGATACTTCTGCTGGTTCCGCAACATTGGAACATCATCAGGAGCTACTAGAGCGGAGTCCCGGAAACGACCCTGGATTCATTAAATCCGAACTGGATGATCGCTTGTCAGAAAGAGACCCGAGTGACGATGTCGCAACTGGGGATGAGTTGGAAGATGAATTGTTTTCTCCCGACGATCCCGACAAGAAAAACTCAAATTTGAGTCGTCGACCCGAAAAGCCTCCCTATTCATACATAGCGTTGATAATGATGGCCATTCAGTCATCGCCTTGTAGACGGTTGACTTTGAGTGAGATTTATCAATTTCTTCAACAGAGATTCCCGTTTTTTCGCGGATCGTATCAAGGCTGGAAAAACTCAGTGCGGCACAATTTGTCACTGAATGAATGCTTCATCAAGCTGCCCAAAGGTCTGGGAAGACCAGGGAAAGGTCATTATTGGACCATCGACCCCGCGAGTGAGTTTATGTTTGAAGAAGGGTCCTTTCGAAGACGACCCCGAGGGTTCCGAAGGAAGTGCCAATCCGTCCGCTCTCCATATCTCTACAGCCAGACGTCAGCAGGCCACCCGATGAGTGCAGCGACTGCTGGGATGTTTCCAGGATACCCAAGTTATCTTAACTCTTCGCCCGCGGAACTTGCATCGAATGCTTCGCTACAAGCCGCAGCAGCCGCCGGGGCGTCTGGACACGCTGGATACTTTACTGGAGGGTATAATACAGTAGGTCTGAACTCAAATGCTCAGAACCATTCTTTGTACTACGGATCAAACGGAGTCGGTTCAATAAGCGGAGATTGTGGCTTGCCGTCCGATAGTCAAATTCATCCTCAGGCTTTGTTGATGTACTCTGCTGCCGCCAATCCGGCGGATAGTCACGCGGTACAAAACGCAATGGCCGCGGCAATGAACGCAGCGGCCAACCCCTGGAACTTCGCAACAGCTGCGGGGTGCACCCCTAAAATGGAATATGCCTCACCGCCATCGACTTTGGCGGGATCCCCTTACTATTCTCAGAATGGAGTCTTGCCGACTAGCAGCAATGCACATCACTCTGGATCCGCGAACACCTACCAGCACCCGAATCATCAGCACGAGACAAACTCGGCCACACCCAACTCCTTTCACAGTCCCGGAAACCAGTCCATCGGGACGACTGGCTCCGCATCGGCTTTGAGTTCAGCTCATTTCATGGCGTCTTCGTTGAACCAACATTCCTTAAATTATCCTCATTTTTCTTTCTTCAATCAAGATTCAGGTAGATGATTTCTCAGCATATTCTGCTGCAATCAGTTTGTTTCATCCTTTTTATTAAAAGTGTGCAAATGGTGTCTAGGGCATTTTAATGTCCTCATTCTAATATAGTTTTTTTTTAGTAAGTAGGATTAAAATTAACTTAATGAAGATTATCAGTAAAATTCCGAATTACGGTTAACATTCATGAAATAGTTGAGTTTACGAAGCAAAAACCACCCTTCTAAAAAACTAAGCTGGCTATCTGAACTGTGGATCATACAACAAAACATTCATTCATGCATACCCTTCAATTTGGGCAGTATTGTTTGAAAAATCTTATGATAAATTCATTTGGGGTTTTGAAACTGTTTTCAATAAAGGGTGTCACTTACTTTTTGAAGAAGCAAATGCATCCACCCAATTTTTTTTCACTGTAAATGTTCCCCTCCTGACTTGATAGATGAGAAATGGCTACTTTTTTAATGGCATTTCTTGTGCTAACCCAGTGCTGATGTTTCGGCTCGGCAAGCAGCGTTAACGTGTCCTGACTGAGAATCGAACCATCGACTTCTCGCTTGAAAAGCAAATACAGCTGCCAAGCAATTTTCTAGTTGTTTGAAATGAACCGTAACAGTATTTTTTTATTAGTGGAATTTTTTGTTTAGGATACGACGGACACCATTTATCCCAACTACAAGCGCAGTTAGGAAGCAGTCACAGCAACTCTAACGGGTCTACTTCAGCAAACATGTACCCTCAATTGACCTCTGACCCCAATGCTCTGCACACTTCTCCCAACGGGGTCAACTCAACTTTTCTTTCGAGCAGACCGCGAGCAAACAATGTGGAATCAGTGAACACAACTTTGACCTCCAATAACACAGGCAGTATTCCATCTGCTGCGTCGGCAGCTGCAAATGAAAGCATGAACAATAAGCACAGATCAAATATTTCACCCCGAAGTATGAACAGTTCAATGACTGTAATGGGACAGAACAGTGCAATAAACGAGATGCAGGAGGCGAATATGGGAGCGAACCCATCAGTCGATTTCCATATGAGTCATATAGCAGCTGCGAAACAGGCCGCAGTCAACGCAGTTTTGCATCAATCGTCATTTTGATACCAAAAAACTTGTGTCAAAAATATTGATAGTTTCTGTTTCTTTAAAATCTCAGTTAGAAATGAGCAATCTATATTGATATTTGTAAATACAAACATTAATTTTTTGTAACTAATATTGAATCTCAAAATAACTTGGACCAGTACATGAGAAAGATGGCACAGAATGTTCTGACAAAAGAAAGATAACTTAAAAAAAAAGGAAAATAAAAACAGAAAAAAAACTTTGACATAAGAACAATAACTTTAAAGATGAAGAACAATAGTTAATAACCGCTAAACATACTTTCATAAAATACTTAAGTTTTTATCTGCAAACCAAAAACACCCACAGTTTTTTCTCAATTTTCTAAACTTTTATTGTGAATCCAATTCTCGGATCTCTTCAACAATTTCAATAGTACCGGTACAGCTCAAAAAAAAACAATTTAGCTGACTAACAGCTAAAATGATACAATTTTGTTTTGGAATCAAGCTAACCAAAATAGTTCCTGAAATAGTGTAGGAGTCCAAAATTTCCCAAAAAAGTACTCCTATTTCATTGAAACTTAGGGTCTTATGCACTAAACGGCCCAATTTCATTATTTCTACATCTCTTGAACTGAAATTATTGTGGATGAATTTGATTGGCTAATTAGCCAAGCTAGTTCCATCGACATTTTCTGCCATTTCAATTGAAATTTCAAGCAGATGAAATTATTAGCCGAAATGATAAAGAAAATTGAATTTTGTTTTGTCAAGCCATTTTACTAAATTTTGCTTGTCTGGGCAAGGTTTCACAAGTGACTCAAAATTAATTTGATAATTTGACTCAAAGTTCCACCTTTTCGGCAATTTCGGCTAATATTTTTATCTGCTGAAAAAGTTGATCGGAATGACTGACCGTGTAACTTGAATTTGATTGGCTTAAATTACCCAATCAAATTTGATCGCATAATTTCCAGCTTACGATGAAGAAAAATTGATTTTGGGGCGTTTAATGCATAAGACCCGAAACTTATACAGCAGGAGAAAAATAGAATGATTACAAAACAGGGGGGCGTTCAACAGTGCCGAAGTACAACATTGCCGAAAAAGGCGGGAAAATTTCAGAATAATTTACACGCATTTTCTAAAGAGCGGGAAATTACTGACGCTAATTATCAAAGAAAATCACTCCAATTTTGGCGCCAATATGTCTGCAACTGAAAATTAAACAATTATTTTGGCGCCAAAATGTCTAAATTGCAAATTTTCTCGCTGAAAATCTTAAAGTTTTACTCAAGATTGCAAACGATCGCTGTTTAATTTTTGATTGCCGCACTTAATATGTTGAAATTTATTCAAATTTTCGGCACTGTTGAACAAAGTTTTCATTTTCGGCATTGTTGAACAAAGTTTTCATTTTCGGCACTATTGTACTTCGGCACTATTGTACTGCCCCCAAAACAGCAAAATGACCGGAGGCGGAGCAATAAGCAGAATGGCCCAAGTGCAGAATGGGTCCAAGAGCAGAAAAACTGAAAAATTTTGATTTATATTGGTTTATACGGGCTATTTGATAAAAACAATCATTAGAATCGTCAAAAAATACCAAGAAAACGAATAAATTATGCATGAATTGTCTACTTCATTAAGTTTCTTTATTAAGTTTTTTTTTTAAATTCTTGATTAAATTACTCAAATTGTACATAAAATGTTCGTTGCGTTGGTATTATTGACATTTCTGATAATTAATTTACCGATTAGATTATAAAAGTTGATTTTTTTCTGTTTTTCTGCTCTTGGACCCATTCTGCTCTTAGACCACTCTGCTTATTGACTGGCCACCAAAATGACCGTTATAAAGTGGCAGAAATCTTCTGGTCTGTGTTGGAGCGTTCTGATCTAAGCGCTCTGATAATTGTTGCGACATCGAGCTTCATTAATCGATTCTAAGCTTTGCCTTTGGTTTTGTATAACTTAACGAGAATGGTAATAAGTCGACACTTAACTTGTGTTTGACTTATTTCACAATATGATAGAGCTGTTCAAGAAAATCTACAGTATTTAGTTGATCTTAAGTCAACAGAGTTCTCACAGCTATTTCTTAACAAACTCTTACTTGAAACAGGTTTGTCAAAATGGACAAGGCCTTGTCCTTTGCTAACTATAGCACACATCATATTTCCGATTTCATACCAGTTGATGTCAATGCAACCTACACGTGTTCAATGAGCATACGCAGCATGGGCGAAGAAGAGTCGCATGTTTATTTTTTCATCGATTGTTACGATAAAGATGGCAACTCCATTTCTTCTGTGCAGGTAACAAAACCATCACACAACAAAAGCCATCAAATTTAAACGACAAAACCGATCAAATAGAAACAATTTAAAAATCTAAGCGCAAGAAATATTATTTTGAGCTTGTGTGAGATTTGAAAATTTCTGTAATTGGCCAACAAAAGTACTATTTTACTTGAAAGGAGGGTACTACTATGATAGAGTGGTCCCTCGAAAAAGCAACTATGATAGACAGGTCCCGCATGCATATTGCATGTTATAATTTTGAAAACTAATTTTGAAATTTGCTCGCTTTACTTTATTTTACGTTTTAACAACCATATGATTGGGTTGACTTATTTGTCATCAAAACCCACTATTGGCGGTTTTTTTTAGATTTTCAACTTTAAAATGGTGTAGGGGAGGATTTATGAGATAACAAAACATAAAATTTATGAAAATATACTGAGACATCTTTCCGAAGGGCTCAATCATAATTATTAAAGGATTTGAGAGCTCTAGGTGTCTTATTCTCAAGGGACCTGGTTATTGTCAAGGGACCACCCTATCATAGTAGTACCGAAAGGAGTTGTTTGTCGCATGAACGCATTTTTTCCCCAGGTGAACATGATGAAAGAATGTCCTCCCGTGACAATCATCGGAATCTCCGACGACCGAAAAACAATCTCCATCAGTGAAGACAAAAAGGAATGGGCTCCTCATATTAGCAACAGATTGGGTTTCTACCTTGATGGAGACTTGGAGAAACTACCGACAGGTCAATTTATTTCAGACAACTCAATTGAGAATAAAACTTCAACAGAAATTGTACTCGCCAATCCTGTCGACAAATCAATTGAGCTAAAATTGGGCGAAACCAAAGCCAGACTTCATAGAGCTACAAGTAATTATATGTATCCAGCATGTTGCTCTAAAAACGTTCCTTTCACGTGGACTACTTATGAGGATACGATTCACGGTGAGGTTTTCGAAGCAGCACACAACAAGTTTCGACTGGGAACGAAACAAGTTAAGATCGGCTTCCTTGCCAATCATAACCAAGGCGGAAAGAAAGTGGAATTCATCGTGAAAAAACTTAAGTTTCAGAAAGTCGAATTTAGTTTGTAAACATTGTTCAATTTAAAAAAACACTGAACATATATTTTGGATGGCTTACGCTTATTAATTAAACTAATCCGATTTGTGCGGATCTGGGGTTTTCTCTTTGGGGGGGACAAATTTTCAAAATTGTTTCGGAAATTTTGACGACCTTTTTTTAGGTCGACAAAAATGATTTTCCAAGCGCTCCCAGAACACTAAAGACTCTATTAAGACCAAAAAATTTGCGACGCAGGCAAAAAATCAGGTCAAAAATGCCCTTTTTGGGCACTTCATGGAGATAAAGGGAGTATAATTAATACATCAACAGTCCACTTCAATTACTGTCAAGTAGTTTTTTTGAAATTTATTGCATCCTGGAAACTTGTAGAAAGAATTGGAATTGGATGTTTATCTTCCTAAAACATTTTGATGACAAACTCAGTTTATAACAGAGCAGGAGAGTGTGCTCGCGCTCTTTCTGCATCCACAGACACATGCTTTATATGTTTTACTTTCATTTACATAACATTTGTTGCAAATTTCTGAAGACAATCTTTATGGAACAAACGACTGCCAGAGTAATTGAACTTACTCAATGAAAACAAACCATCCTGCGAGTTCAGTCTGAACTTGTAAATCAACAGCATGTCGAAAGGGGTCGCCTTCAGCACTTTTAAATCTTGTTTCCAAAATTTTTCTAAAGGCGTCCGTTTAGAACTACCTTAAGCAAGCCCTTTTTAACCCAACCTACCAATCCCAAAATGTTACTACGGGCAAAATATTAGTTAACTTGTTTCCTTGTTTGGTGGGGGCATCGTCAATGGCGCAAAATGTTTATCTTAAATAGGGTTTCGGCAGAGTTCAAGTCATTCAAATTGTCTTACCTAAAAAACATCGTTTGGCAAACAATTAAACAAGTCTTGCCCACGCTATAGGTTAAAATTGTTCAATATGTGTACTGAATGCAAGGTGGTATACACAATTATAAGTAATACCGATAGTTTATCACAATACATACAACTAGATCTATCAAAACGAATCAAAATATTTTTGCAAAAAAGATGCCCAGATAAAAGAATGAAAAATTAGCAAAAACGTAGCAAGCGGTCACAAAACCAAAAACACCTGTGCAGAAATCTTTCATGCAGAAAAAATATAGGGGGAATTTAAAGTCCTTTTCCCTTAAGAACACATTCTCACACCTGAGCAGAAAACCTTCATGTCGAAAAAATCAACATTTTGAGCAAAAAAAGTTCAAAACCCCACTTCCCATCAGAGCACACGCGCACACAAAAAATTTTTTGGTCATCAGACGACGCAGTATGAAGCCACTAAGTCAATATAAAATAAACCGATATTGATTAACTAACAAAAATTGTTTTTTTTCAAGAAATCGAGTAGCTAAAACTACAAAAAAGCTAAAAATCAAATTTTAATGCGACCGGATTTTTGAAAAGTTAAAACACTAAAAACAACAATGAAAAAGTTAACAGCAAAAATAAACGATTCTAAGTTGTGGCAACTACGCCAACAACAAAACAAACAGATGAATATTCGGCCGACAATTATATTTGGAACAAACTAATTATCGCTAAAAACACAGGTTCCAGTCAAATTCGAACTCGAGATCTCTGTCGTTCCAGGCTTATTTGCCAATTGGCCGAGCTAAAAAATTTCGAGGACACTAAGAAACTTGAGTTCATTATGAAGCAACGTACCACCAGGAGTCCAGACAAGTCCTGTGAACAAAGTTATGAACGGGGAAAAAGGTCTAGTACCCGATTGCAATACTCTTACTTATCGTAAGGTTACAAACTTTTATAATGGTACACTGAGAGCGCATTCTCATCAAACTCTCCGTCTAATGTCTGAAAAACTAAAAATCCAGATCCTTTTTTTTGTTTGGGGAAACTTATCAATTCGTTTGAAACTTAGATATCAAATATCACAAATACAATCAAAGAAAGCAAATATAGACGATACTAGGCATGCACTTCAAGCAAATCTTGATACTAAAATGTAACAACTATGGCTGGAAAAAAGTTGACTGACTTGTTAAGACTACGTTACAAGCTCACTCGAATTTGAATTCATTCATCCAGAAAAGTTTAGTTTATGTTTAAAAAAATCGTAATTTTTCTCTGGAAGGGCTGTTGAAAGAGCATTTCAGCTCGCCAACAACCGTCCTCGAAAGGTAAAACAAGAGGACAAGTAAGAAAGTTAGCCCGTATCCAAAAATCATTCTGTTGCATGTCAGAACTCGGTTTCTTCTTAGAGACTTTTTACGACTGTTTTGTGAAAGGGCAAGGTTGGTAGTATAGCTCACTGGATCTTCGTTGTGACACGACGGTTTCGCACATTTTTTTTTCAAAGTTTTATCACCTTCTGGATCTTAAAATTTGAAAAAGCTCCTGAAGCAGTCCACATAAATTTGTACTCATTAAAAATTTCTTCTGTTTCATTATCTCTTTGACAAATTCCATCAAATTGTTTTTTTTAAAGATAACTGAAAGATAATCTTTCTCTGAAAGTTGAGTTTTGTCTCTGGGCGAGCTTTACATGTGTCACCAGAAACTTAAATCCCGTAAGACAAAATATGTTAACTGAATCTGCAGCAGTTGATATTTTGAGAAATAAAAACCGAGACTTATATGCTTTCACGTGAATTTAGCTACTACTTATTATTTAATTATTCTTGAAACGTGCTCAATAAAACTTAGAATCAAGATTTATACTTGAAAAACTAATTAAAAATTTAAGTTCCCAACCTGGCATGAATTGTCCGCTAACATTCTTTGTCCAAAATTTTAAAGGCCACATTTCTTATTTGTTATTAAAACATAATCTGAAGATAAAATTAGTGGTGGCAATCAAGTCTTTGTAAACTACTTGCCACTTGAATTGATGTTCAATTAAACCGACGTGTCATCAGTAAAAAAGATTCCGACTATTTTTTAAACAATTTGGCATGTCGTTGGTAAATATTAAAAACAGTAGCCGCCCTAAAACCAAATCCTTAGATGTACCCTATTTTTTTGCTTCTCGGAGCGTTCTCTTCCGAGCTTTTCCTGTCGATGACTTTTTTCTAGGTACCATAACAATAAACTTCGAAAACCAAAATTTTCAAGATTTTGAAGAAGCAAGTCACGACTGAGCGAATCAAAGGCTTTACTGAGGTCAATGAAACATGCTAATTCAGCCTGCTAAGAAATCGAAGGAAAATTGATCAAATAAACAACGCATGGTTTTTTAGGCAGCAAACTAAGCTGTTCACCAGGAACAAGTTTTTTTTCTATAAATGAACACAACATGCGTTAATGCAGAAATCTTTCAAAAATCCCTTTCAGAGATCCCATTTATCAAAACTGATAGGCCAAAATTACAATAAAAGTTGATTGCCCACTTTCATAAAGGGTGTTCGTTTGTTTTTTAAACTGTTCGGGTGATTATGCTCAGGAATGCTTTCATTAAAAGTATTTGCTCAGGGTTCCGGAGTTACCGGTAGTGGGTATTTCATTAAAAAATTACCTTGCCTAAATTTTATTTAATCTTTGACCTGCATTCTGAGCTTTGACTCTTTCTGAGGATTGAATAGGATTGAGCACAAACCTTGTTTCTGTTTCGTTGCAAGAGAGGCTTAATTAAATTCTTTTTTCTTTCCTCTTCAAGTTTTTTTGCAAGTTTTGAGCCAATTGGGTAAAAAATGTTTTAAGCAATCACATCACAAAATTCTAGGTTCAAAATTTGATCACTGCAGAACAACCCACAGATATTCAGATCTAGGGTTCGATCCAAGGTTGTCATCATAAAGATTCGTTTGCCGTTTCAATTTATACTGGTTACTTTTTTTAATCAGCGTTTTCAATAATTAATGATTCGTATGGGATGGTTTTGATTTCTAATTTATGAGAAGAGTATTTTAATTGGTATTTTTTCCATTTGTCGATGTAAATCAGTTTTTCTCGCCACTCGGACATTTTTTCAATGCCATTAAGAAAAAACAGAAGAGAAAACGGAAAAAGAATTAACTAAAACACCCCCGAATACTAATTATCTTCCATTTTCAACAATCGGAACATAAAAAAATAAGTATCGCCTAAAAACTGATTTAAAGCTCTCTTCAATAACCTACATGCAAAAAGTATCTTTTAATTTAGTTTCCAAAGATTGAACCCGAAACTCAATCAAATACCCTGAATCTACATCTACCATTTCAGATGTTGAGCAAATTATATCAGATTGAGCTCCTTACGTAGCGTAAAGGTGACTTGAAAATCTCCTAGATTTGATATAAAAAATTTCATTTTCACTTGCTAGCCAATGAATACCTTTTTTTATGAAGACAGCCAACTTTTTTGATTTAAAAACAATTTCTTAGAAAGATTTGCGCAATTTTTGTTTTAGAAATTGCACCCTTTTCAAATTTGATGCGGCAAAAATTATCCCCTTTTAGCGTTAAAACTAAGGTCCAAAAATCTCAAAATAAACTGGAACCTACAAAGATTCTGGTTAATTTCTTGTCCACTTTTGTTTTCATCATTTTTTGTCTAGTCAACTTCAGTTGGAGAAAAAAAACTTTTTTAAACAATTCTTATTTTCTTTTATCCGAAAACTTTATATCAGTGCCAAGTTAGGCTAAGCAAACTGCAATAATTTGAAAGAAAAAAATTAATCAAAGTGTAGCAGATTTAAATTGATGAAGTCAACCAGTCAACAAAACTCGTCTAATTTAGTCTTAAAAAATGAAAAATGAGGCCAATTTCTCGACGCTGCACATGTTTTTTGAAATAATTTTATAAAAACGGAATAACACTTATCGGTCTTTTTTAAGATAACACATTTCAACCCCTACAGATTTTCATGAAGTAGTCAAAATTCAATGGTCAGAACAAAAAAACGTCGTTCATCACCTTGAATTGATTCTAAATGAAATTTCTCCAAGCTAATTATGACGCTAAAATGCTCAAAACTAACAACACAGATTTTCAGACAGAGGCGAAGCGGAGTTTTGCATCACTTGCGATATAACGCAGACAAATTGGGGAAAAAAAGTTGAAAAATAATTCTACGAAAAATTAGAATTTCGAATGTCTCGATAGAAATCTATTCTGGGCAATCATGTCAGACATTTGAATGTTAATTTAGCAACGGAACAAAACTCACGAAGAGGAAACAAAGCTGATCATCTTTGAGCAGACAAGTTGATTTAAAAAAATTCAAAATTTTTTTTAAAAAAAGCTTTAAGAATACCCTGAAACTTTAATGACAAATAGTAGCACTTTCAACTATTATGAAAATTACTTGCAAACAAAAATTTCGATGTGGCAACTGAGCCGACAAAAATTGAGCAGACAAACGCAAAGAAACAAAAAACAAAACTGAATTACTTTTTGAAAATCTTTAAAGTTCGATTAGCAAAAATATGCAAACAACCTTATAACTTTTTGAATTGTAAGAAAAACTTTTCTTGCTTTTTTGATAAAATAAACTTAGTTCAATAAGACTGGATCGCTTGATAAAATTTTCAATGCGCTAGAAAATTAAAACCCTTTTTCGAAATTAGAACTCATTCACGTTTTTCGTGACCTTCATTTTTTTCTGAACAATAGCTGAGTTTGCCTTACTTTTAACTAAGGAAAAGAACTCAGTTTAAAAAATAAATCAAAAATCCAACTGCGAAAAAACAAATTTGAGCGTGAACAAATTTTAGGATTTTTTCTGGAAAAAAATCATCACCAACTATTTAAGAGCCTTCAGTACGTTTATCGAATCATACTGGGACAAATTCCACGAAACCGACGAAAACAATCATTTTCAATCTGAAAATGTTGTCAGCTGTAGACCAGGTATCACTCCATTAGCCCTATACCTATAGAATAGGACAAAAGCCATCAAGCCGACGAAAAAAAATCATGTTATCCAGCTCAAAATTTTTCCAGCTGCTGAACAAGTATCAATTTATTTGTCTTATATCTAGAACTACACCTCTTGAAAAAACAGTTTGGCTAAAACTCACCCTAAACTTGATCGCGAGAACAAAATAAGTTACGGGAAAAAACTAATAGCTGATTGCAATATTGCTTATCCAAGAGTTTAAAAAATCTTGAATCATTCTTGCAGGGGCGGATCTAGGACTTTCTCGAGGGGAGGGGTGACCAAATTGTTTTTCCGAGCTCTCCCATAGCACTACAAAGACCCTGTTTTGGCGAAAACTTCTGCTCCAAAAATGGATATCCCAAAATAGTACAAAGGGGGACCCTTTGGGTCGGCAGGGGGTCGAATCGATGACGGAGAGGGAGGGGGGGGGGGGGTGGAGGGGGCATCCGCCCCCCTCCCACCAAATCCGCCTTTGCATTCTTGTAAAGATCATAGCCTTCTACTAAAAAACTTAGAATTGAAATTTCGGGTATTGAAGATTCTGCATTCCTATAACCACGTAAAATTCAACATTAATTTTCGATAAAATTTGACATAACATTTCCAAGTAACGAAGAACATATTTTTAAGTTTGCAAGATCTTTTCAAGTTAAAACCAGTTTTTCAAAGATTACAATATAGCCAAAATTGATTGGCTAAAGTTTATATTTTTAGATTTCATATCCTTGTCAGTCAGCGAATAAAGTCTTTGGAGTGGGAGAGGAGAGGGAAGAAGAAGCGAGGGCACTTGTGAAGTAGTGCCTCATCTTCTTCTGGTATGCCAGCATGCCCGGCCACTTGGACAACCTGGAGGCCACTGAGAGAGCCAGGTTGCACATCTTCACTGCCTCCATTTTCTTACCCTGGTCTGCCTGGCCCAATCCGTTGTTCCAAAGCTGCACCATCAGCCATTGCAGCTGCAAAAAGCGAATCTCCTTTTGAACAAAAATTACTATTTTCATTCTTACAAATGATATACCAATAAATGCGCCGTTTGTTGTTCCGACTTTAGAAAAAAGCGAGAAACATTCATACCAGCTGAAGATTTTTATGCAGCAGATGTGGATGCGATTAAAATATAGGAAACAAAATCGTAAATTCAATAAAAGCGATAGAAACATTAAGAGCATAATCCTGATTGGATCTGTCTTCTTGAGAATTCAAAATATAACTTAGCAATTATAGTTTGGATTCACAAATGTAAACCAATAAAAAGTATTGGAGGTTTTTCCGTGTTTCGAAGAAATTGACGAATATCTATACTAGTATCTATGCTTTTAATTCCAGAAAAAATCGATAACCATAATACTGTTTTAGGTGAAAATTCTTCATGTTCTGGTTGAAAATTTAACAAAAACTGTCGTTGTGGCCAAAAAATTACTCTTTAAACGTTGGAAAACCGTTGGAAAACTTTTAGAGTAGGTCTGCTGAAAATGGATGTCGCAAAACAGCACAAAATGAAGGAACTCAATCCGGAGTTTTTTCCTAGCGGCATATTAAAAAAAGTTCTAGAGACATGGCAAACAAGTGGCGAAGGATTTAAAACATCATTATCTACACTCGATCCTGAAAATCATTATCAAAACTGATATTTAGACCCGAAACAACTTTTTTGAACATTTTTGAAATCCGAATTACCGACTGAAAAAATGTATTTCGATACCATACTCGATAACCTATGAGCGCTTTTAAGGTACGTAATTTTGCATGAAAAAAAAAACGAGCTAGGCCCGAGTTCCTTTCCACTTCTAGTGGGATGGTCGGAACAACAAGATTTGAACCGTTTTAAAAGAAGTTTCAAAAATTTAGCGCCATTTGAACCTAGGTAAAATAAGCTAAATGATGCGCATTTTATTGACTTTAATTTCTTTGCACATCATACACTAAGATCAAATCCGTTAGTCAAATCAATATAAAATTGGGTAAAAATGCCAAATGGCCCACCGTCAGGACAAATCTTATATTTTCACTTTTCCTTAATCTATATTTACAATATATGAACTTAATTTTAGAAGCAATGATTCTTTTAAATTCACAATTGTGACTGATGGTGGAATGAGAGGTTATCACCCTTGAATTTCTTGAAATGATGTTACCTTTGAGTTGCACTGTTGAACTTCTTTGCTAATTCCAGTAGCTGTCAAGGTGTTACCTTGGACAATCTCCTGCATTATTCCCTCTATTGAGCTCATGACTAGATCCATGACTTCAACATCTGACACACTTTCTTCCTTCAAAAGCCGCTTCAGTTCTTGATTCAACTTTATATATCGAATCACACAGTACAGAAGCTTGTCCGGAGTAAGACACTTTTCATTAGTCTTTTCTGCAATCTGAAGATTACTGGTAGACCCGGAGTTCAGTGTTTTACAGTCAGATGATGCTGAGGCGCCTTGGAACTTCAACTGCCTTTTAAAATTCTTCAGCAGCATTTCACGACAATGTAACTCAACTGAAAGTAGCAACCTTTCAATGAGATCTCAGTAGTTCCGCCAAAATAATCCTTACAAAAATGATAACTTGTAAACTGAGGGCTACATGAATCAAGCCAGCGCAAGATACTCTAGTGGGGCTATCAAAAGTAGTTTTAACTGACTAAATTTTACCTATTTCTGGCTCCAAAAACTAATATACACGAAGCGTACAAATGAACGAAAAAAAGGCGTAAATAACAATTTCATTTTTCCCGAAAACTCTCGAAAATTTTTCTCGAAAACTCTAGAAAAAGCTGCCTAAAACCATAACTCCGGATTTACTTCCATACAAAAACGCTTATCATGCAATTTAATGCATGTCCATGTGGATTGTCAACGACATGAATCTTGATCTTCGTTTGATTTTGCTAGGTGTAAGCTGTTTTACAAACTCTCTGTCATAGTCATCATTTTTCTGTCAGGCAACCCCACATTGTGTTATACAGTGCTGATTTAAATTAACCGGACAAAACGCGTTAAACTTGAAATTTAAAACCAGTTTTTCTCAAATTGGGTTGAGTTTAGGTGAAAACTTATGAAGACAAAACTTGCTTAGAATTTTAGCAGAATTAATATGGTGCAATTTGTTTTGCGAAATTCGGGTCCGAAATTTTACCCCAAAAATGGGTCATTTTGGCTTTTCTTAGTTAATAGAAAATTACGCCTAAAATACCCAGTCGATCACAGACATAATATTATCAAAGTGAGCCCCTTACGTAGCTCAACAAACTTTAAGAAGGGTATTTTCTTCAAAACAAATTGCATATTGTTTTAAAATTGTTTTTAAATAAAAAGTTGGTATTTTATAAAGTAAAAATGACCTTTTTTTCTATCAAACAAAAATATACAACTTATACAATTTTTTGGAGATTATACCCTTCTTAAAGTTTGTTCAGCTCCGTAAGGGGCTCACTTTGATATTATTATGTCTGTGATCGACTGGGTATTTTAGGCGTTATTTTCTATTAACTAAGAAAAGCCAAAATGACCCATTTTTGGGGTAAAATTTCGGACCCGAATTTCGCAAAACAAATTACATCATATTAATTCTGCTAAAATTTTAAGCAAGTTTTGTCTTCATAAGTTTTCTCCTAAACTCAACCCAATTTGAGAAAAACGGGTTTTAAATTTCAAGTTTAACGCGTTTTGTCCGGTTAATTTAAATCAGCACTATAGTACCATTAGGATTGGGAATTAAAACTTTCAAGTGTCTGGAGATTTTGAGGGACAATTAGTTACAGAGGTTTAAGCCTCTATGTTTTCTCAGAATACAAGGTGTTGTGCAGCAAAAGTTGGGAAACGAAAAATCACCAATCCGACTGAATAAAACTAGTGATTCGCAAAGAGTATAAATTATTTCATGAGTTATAGATAGAAGTCAATTGATTTTTGTTAAATGCGGTTTTAAATAAGTAAATCAGTTCAATTGTAGATTTAGTTCAAGTAGAAAGCTGAGATGTCTTTTTTAGGCTTCAACATTCCGCCTCCCTTGAAGTGTCTTCAATTTTCAGAGCGTTATTATGTCTAGATATGACTACCCATTTACAGTGTATGAGACGAAGGAGAGGAATAGTAGGGCGGAGTCGGGTAGAGCAGCACGTCTGCCTCCACATGGCGAGGTGCGAAGGTCCAGTAGGCGGGGCGCTGTCGACCGGGAGGACCTGCAGGGTTTCTTCGATGCAGTGACCAGAGGAGATCTGGGTTTCACTCCGATTCCTGTAAAGTCGTTGGATGAGATCCAGTCTTGAAGGAAGAAAGCTGCAATCGTGGATAGGGCAGTTCTGCGGTTTCCGAAAGCTGAGACTGTGAGTAGCATTTATTCCATTGTATCATAGTAGTAGAGTATAGCGGGTGTGCATCAATTGTTTGTTTTGTTTTAGAAGCAACTTAGAGGTCTTAAACGTATTAGTGACCTCAGCGTAGAAGGGTCATTGTGCACTGACTGGTAGCAATGATTCGGAGATGGGGTTCACTGATGCTGCTAAGTATCTGAGGAACATTGGTTCTCAGCAGAAGAAACTGGTCCGCTATGGTGTTCTTGAGAAGGGGAAAAGTTTGTATCTTCCATATGCGTGGTGCCATGCAGTTCTGACTCTCTGCGACGAAGAGAGGGTCTGCTGCATGTACTATGCGGAGATGCAAACTCGGCTTTCCTTGGTAGCATCTGCGTGGAAGCACTGCCAGCAACACTGCAGGGTCAACAAGCGAAGAGGACCAGATGACAGCGAATCGCATGACAGCGAATGACTGTTCAACGGTAAATATGTAAACAATTATTCAATAAATGAACTAAATGTGACTGCACCATAAGTAAGGAGTATACAAGTGAAGTATTAACGGTACGAGTCATGAGCGAAAGTTTGTCCTAGCTGTTTTCAGACAATAATTACATTTTGGGTCATGAGGGTACAACCTCATACGAATTTTAATGCTGGGAATTTTCAACATTGGAAATTTACATGAAAGTGGCCAAGATGAACGATTCAGACCATAATGTATTGCATAGGGGGTAATTTAGGTTCCTACTTTCAAAAGGGTCATGGGGGTACTACCACTTAAAATTTGAAAACTGCACATTTTTGATATTTTTCGATTTTTAGCACTATAAAGTTCTTGTTTTAAATGAACTGCACATTGGATATGTCTTGGTTGCTATACTGGTAGCTTCCGCAGCTTCGCGACTGGGCGTATGTATTCACCAGTTGTGGTCTTCACTTTTACCACTCGAACAATCGAGTCATTTCCAGGATAAACTTCTATGATTCGTCCAGTTTTCCATTCTAGCGGTCGTTCATTGTCTTCGGCAAGTAGGACTAGGTTGCCAACTTTAAATTCTGGGCCATCCCTGAACCATTTTTTTCGTATTTGTAGCGTTATGAGGTAATCCCTTTTCCAAACTTTCCAGAAATCCTTGATCATATTCTGTAATAGTCGATATCGTACATTGGTTGAAACATGGATGTCAGCAGAGGGAAGAGTTAGCAATGATTCCCCTATCAGAAAATGAGCGGGTGTCAGCGGAGTTGGGGCGTTAGGATCACTTGACATTGGATACAATGGTCGTGAGTTTAAGACAGCTTCAATTTGATTAAGAATTGTAAGAAATTCTTCAAAACTGAGACGTTGCAGTCCTATAACTTTTCGCATATGTCTCTTCATACTTTTTACAGCTGCTTCCCAGAGTCCTCCGAAGTGAGGAGCACAAGGAGGGATGGTGAGCCATTCAGTTCCTTGGCTATTGACGAAACTAACAACTGATTTGTCCGTTCCATTTTTGTCGAGCAGTTCCTTGATTTTGATCAGATCATTTCGAGCCCCGATAAAATTGCTTCCATTGTCACTTAAGATCTTCTCAGGTTTGCCACGGCCTGCAGTAAATCGTTTCAATGAAAGGATGCATGCTTCTTTGGTTAGACGAGTAACCATTTCCAAATGAATAGCTTTTGTCGCGAGACAAACAAAGACGGCAACATAAATTTTTGAGACCTCTGCTTCCTTAATTTCAAAGGGACCAGCAAAGTCTATTCCACATTGAGCAAATGGCCATTGACTAAATTGGACACATCTCATGCATCTTCTAATGAACTGTCGAGCTAGATCACGGCCTTCGATTATCCAAATTTCTTCTCTCATTGTGTTCAGTACTAATTGCCCCCCGCCATGAAGAGTATCTTCATGATATTTGCGTATAAGTAGGGATACTAAATCAGATTTTTTCGAAACGAGTATTGGAAACTTCTTGTCTGTTGGGTAGTTCGATTGTGAAAGTCTGCCTCCAACTCTTAGTAGATCGTAATCCTTGTCGAAAAACGGACTAAGATTGAGTAGTTTCGATGTTTTACTTAGCTCCCTTTTCACCTTCAGACAATTTAGCTCTGATTTGAAATGTATTTCTTGGTCTAAACGAAGAATTAGCATTTTTGCCATGATTCTATTTTTGGGTTTAAGACAATCTTCTTCAAGTTGTACATCAGATGTCCGCTTAGATCTGAGCCGCTTCCGATAGTTTATCGATATTCTATGCTTAAGATGTTGAACAAAAGATAGCATGCGATGCGTACTGTCTTGTTTCAAGTGCTGTAGTCCTTTAAACGAAAAATTCCATCCGTCATTTCTTCGTTTTGAGCATGATTTGCAAGAACAGTTCGAATTTGTTCACTTTCTGTATTAGTCTTGGCTTTGACGGTTCGTTTTTCAGGTGCTTCAACTAGAGATGGTAGTAGGTTGGGCCAGTGCCTTTCATCCTTGGTCAGCCAATCTGGTCCATTCCACCAGAGTGAGGAAGATATTAATGTGTCAGCTAATACACCACGAGAAGCTAAATCAGCTGGATTTACTGCTGTTGGCACGTGTTTCCAATCACTTCTGGGTAGGGTCTCTTGTATTTGTGAAACTCTGTTTGCAACAAAAGTGTTCCACGTTCTTGGAAGTTGAGCAAGCCATTGCAAGACAATTGTTGAATCAGTCCAGGCGTGTAAAGTTATCTTGAGATTTGTTTTCCTCAAAATTGAATGAACTGATTTAAAAAGTTTGGTAGCTAAACTTGCACCGCAGAGCTCTAATTTGGGAACAGAGATTGCTTTGACCGGAGCAACCTTTGTTTTGGAGGTCAGTAGATACTCAAAAGGTCAGTAGATACGAAATAGGTAATTCTTGCATAAATTGCGGCTGCATATGCTTTTTCGGAAGCATCACAGAATACGTGAAGTTGAACCTCCTTTATTGGATGTGAGCTCATAGATCTTGGTATCTGTAGTTCCAGTAGTTGAGGCAAAGTTCCGGTGAGCTCATACCATTTTTCCTTGGTTTTCTGATCGATTTCAGAATCCCAATCAAAACCTTGGACCCATTGCTGTTGCATGAGACATTTGAAATTGACGAGGAATGGAGCTAGCCATCCCATCGGATCAAACAATTTTGAAATTGTGGACAGAAGAGTCCTCTTTGTAAGCAGTTTCAGCTCTGGTAAGGCAGTTGA